ACAGCTGCCATTTTCATGGTCCTGCTTGGCTGGATCCAATAGTCAATCAGGTCTCCTTTCGGATGTCACCACTGCAAAGATGCTTTCCCTAATTACCTAACTTATCATCCTTTCCATCCCATCAACTCCCATAACACTTTTTTGATAGCACATTGCCCAATCTAAATATGTCTATTTACTTATTTTTCATGATCTCTTTTCCCACCTCAACACTTATTCACACCCTTGCAGAAAGGCATATAAAAATATTGATGTCATTAATGGGCTACTGCATCTCCAGTCCCTGAAAGACTGTCCACCACAAAATAGACATGTAATCATATTTACAGATTAGCAAGTGGCTTAATGTGTGAGCAAATTGGAAATAGTGTTGGAGGGTTTTCAAAGGGAAAAATACTGAGACAGGGTCTTGTGCAGCTCAGGTTGGCCTCAAACTCACTATATAGGAGAGAATGAACTTGACTTTCCAATTTTCATTGCTCCACTTCCCTTGTGCTTGGATCACAGGCATGTGTCACTGTGCCCAGACCATGTGATGCTGGGATCAAACCCAGGGATTCCTGCATGCTACACAAACACCCTGCTCACTGAACCATATCCCTATATTCTTTTTCCAGACTTAAGAGGTTTTGTCATTTTAAAAACTAAGTTCTTTTTTATTTGCCTTGGTAATTTCCTGCTATGTGATTCATGAAGAGGCAGTTTACACAGTCTGCAATACCACTTAGAAACACACACACACACACACGTACCTTATGCATATATGCAGAATGCAGCAGGTGTAGCAGCACAGATGCATTGAAGTATCAAGAGCCAGGCACTTGTTTAGGTTCTGGGCAGAAGCTGCTGGACAGTCTTCAGCCATTCTTTGCTGATTGGTTGTCCTTCAGTGATATGAGGCAGGGCCCACTTGCACTGGGTTGCATTCCCAAGAGGTAGGTGAGACTCTATCACCAACCAGAGTTTACACCTAAGTAAGAAAACAATGAGAACACCATCTCACCATCTGATTCTATCAGGTCTAGCCTAACATCATTAGGCTGTGACATGTATTTTCTTGTTAGGAGGATTCTTCCTCTGACCCAGCTTCTCCAGGCCATTCAATCCATAGGCTGCAGATACCACCTGCTGGTTCAAGTTGCCACCTGTCACTGGAGTTCTTGTCTGAAAGCCACCAGAACTCTTTACAGCCTTTCTTCCAATATGCTTCTCCTTTCCTCCCTCTCTCAAAATCTCCTCTGTCAGGATTCATCTTCTCCAGCCATTCACAACTATTTCTGTCTAGGTAGCCAGTGATCTTGCCTTGTGTAGACCACAGCCCCTGGAATCTGGATCTTTTCATAACTAGCAAAGGTTGTGTAGGTGAGTTTAAGGTCTCTTGTACATTGTGTTTTACATCATTTCCCTCAAACTTTTCTCCATGTCATCTGTTATTACATGAAAATATATGTTATGCTATGGAACCATAAAGTACGTTGATTGTGGTTCCTAGCCTGCCAAGCATTAACTGCATTTATAGGTTTAATCAAAATCCTTCTCCTCCACACATGTATTTGATTAGACCTTTCTATTCCCAGAGATACTGGATCTCCCAAGACTGCCTCATTCCTGGATGGAAGAACCACTTTCTCTATCTAATTCTCAGAGACCAAGGGACCATTTCTTACCCTAAGCCAGAGCCAAGTCAGGATTCCTGGAGACCACCCACAGAACTTGCCAAAATATTATTCACTACTATGTAATCCAGTTTTCCCATCCTTCCTTGCCCAAACCCTCCCATGGAAACCATAAGCTTCTTGCCATACTTTCTTCCTACTTTCTATATCTACAGACCAACCTGAGATATGTCACTGGGTGATATGACCCTTCTCTTGGGAACTATAAAGAACACACTCTTCTTTCCAGATCTTTGTGCTGGTCACTTTTCTCCACTCTGATTAAGCACAGTTCTAGCTATGCTTAGACACATTCTTGATCCCTACCCTTTGGATGAGATAGGTATTATTTGGTATGAGTTGCACAGAGATAGAGACACAAGGACTCTGTGTTTGAACAGAAAACCCAACTTCCAAGCCAGTATTCCAATCATATGATAAATTGTCTCTACATATAAATTTATATATCCAAGGAGGTGTAATTAGAAGTCTACCCTATCATTGCCATGGGCCAACGCTTTTCACAGAATATGCCTGGCACAAATTGTTTAATTGTGTTCATTGTAAACCTCAACTCTGTTCCCTTTTCCCATTTAAGCGTATGTTTTAGCCCTACATTCTAGTAGTTCATAGCAATGTTTTACAAATGAATGAGCTGCTGACCACTCCCCCCAATGCTGTAGACGGAAATGAAGATGAACATTTAGACAAGATCTTTGTAGTTTCCTCCTTGACTCACAAGTTTGTGAATTCAGATTTATTCTGTCACAGAGACTAAGCTAGGAGCCATTGTAACAGGAGAGTATAGACCCTGATTCTTTGTTCTTCAGTCCCCCAAACCCTTTACTTGGAAACAGCAAGCCTGGTAGACAGTAGCCTCCTTAGCTTGTTCCTTCATAGGCACAAGCCCTAGTGTGTGTGATCGAGGACTTTTATCTCCACTTCAGTTCATCTCTGCTTCAGTTCTTCACTAGCCTCAGTCATCCTTTCCTTATCTGGAACCTTGCACATGTTTCTTCTTGATGTCTCCAATAGCTCTTCCTATCCCAAGCCACCTTGCCTGAGTTAGTGCAACAGTGGTCCCACCCGCCACTTCTGGATAAGAAATCAAACCAACAGGCATCTGAGAAGATCTGAGCATGTTACCACTGAGCAGCAGGGACAGAGGACCTGGGAGATGCCTTCTGACCAGGCTCTGCTTATATCCTCAGCCCTAATTAAGACACAAGTTTGGTGACAGGAAGTTCTAAACACAGCATCTCATTGTCAGCTTACAGCATAACACATGTAAGAGCCTTTCTAGCTCTTGATCCTGGCTTGCAGAATCACAGGGTCCAGAGGATTATGTATGTACAAAACATTCAGATTGTTTTTTAGAAGAAGGATATGTATTAAAAGTGGTGGGTGTTTCCTGAGCTTTCTTGGTATAGGGGAGTATAGAGGCTGGGTTGAGGAGTGGTGATCCCCAAATACTGGTTGGTAGTGATCCCCAAATACTGGTAGTGATCCCCAAATACTGGTAGTGCTCTCAGGATCACCCAATCCCTGTCTACACCATTTCTTCTTTCAGCCTTGCAGCCCAAGACCTCATGAAGGAGTCTTGTCTCCCACGTCTATCTGAGTAATACCTGTTCTCTCAGTATAATTTTCACTATAGCTGATATGACTAATGATAAGTACTCTATCCTTCCAAGGTAAGATGTTCTAATTAAAAAATTTAAGCCTAAAACGTATGTATGAGCTAAGCATTTTTACAAGTGGGACTGGGGCAGTATTCTTTTTTTTTTTTCCCCCGCTCAGTCCCTTGGAAATGAGAGCAGGTAGGATGCCTTCGTATCCTTCGGCAACCAAAGTAATAAACACGAAGAGCTTAATGCTTATTTTTGAATTACATTTCATTTTGGCAATTGTGCAGAGCCCTGCCTAATTTAACAAAAGGCTTCGAGAAAAAAAAATAACAGTAGAGCAGACGCACATAGCAACCATTAAATTAGGATACAGGCATGAGTACCACGCAGAGAGGAAAGGCTTCTGCCAGGCAGAGCAGGAGCAAGAATAATGGCAGGCCCAAGGAAAGCTGTGCTCTTGAGTTTAGACTGAAGGTGATGGATCTCAGCCCAAAGCAACCCAGAGATTGGCCTCTAGGAACACTGTATCCTGGAGTTCCCTCTTGGCACTATTATGATGCTCTCTCTCTCTTGTAATCAGAAAGCCATAGACGGATTTTATGAAGATCAGTACTACTGTATTTTAGGATCTCCACGTGATTTTCCTGGCTCTTCCTTTTCACCGCAATAAGAGGCACAGATAGTGGTGGATTATTTTGCATGTTGTCTTTTAAGAAGAAATTCAATTGTCAGCTAGGGAGGCAGACATGGAGTGGAGGGGCATTAAGTGTTTCTAGGTAGGCCATCAGAACAGGAAGCATACTACAGCTTTTTGCATAGGCCCAGGAAAGCTGTGCAGTAAGACTAGCGCCTGCATGGATAGATGCAGAGGAGTGGACATGCATACTGGCTCAGCTACCTGGAGTGGCAAAGGCAGCTCAGTTCTCCTGGGCGGGGTCTGACAACTTCTGCATGGCATTGCAGAAGGAAGGTGCCAGTGTCAGTTTTCAATTTGCTGTTTTCCCCAGAACTCCTTCTCCAGCCCTCCCCTCAATCTCCCCACCCATATCAGGGGAGGCAATGAGCGGGACTCAGCACTTCCTCAGCTCACTCAGGTACAAGGAGAGAGCAGAGCCCCTTGAGGCATCAGGCACCTTCCCTTGGGGATCCGGGCCTCGGTGGATGCATCTATCCCGGCGCGGCGGGGGTTAAGGTGGGCGCCCGCGCCCCGCACCCGCCAGGATGAGCATGCAGTCCGTGCCACGCGCCAGTCGGCTTGCTCCAAGTCGACACCGGGAGAAAGTGGCGGTCAGGGATGCTGCTGCTGCCATGACAACCCCAGCGGTCGGGGCCCGCGCGCTTTGGGGCCTCTCCCCGGAGGAAGGAGGCGCGGAGGACGGGGGCGGCCGCTGAACGTGGCGTCCGCGCGTCCCCGCGTCCCGGTGCAGCGTCCCAGAGGAGGCGGGGGCCGTAGTCCGCTCAGCTCCCAGCGCGCCCAGAGCCTGCACCGCGTTCCGCGGGCTGGCAAGGGCCAGGCTGGCAGGACTCGCCCACTGGGCTACCGGGAGGACAACCTCGGAGCGGAAGAACTGGGCTACACCTGCTGCAGGTCACCGTGTGGAACTTTTTATCGCCTTGGGGTCCAGATGCAAGACTCGGGGCTGTTTTCTAACTCCATCCAAACATGTGTGTGATCTAATAAAACATTTTCTCCTCTCCTTGAAATCAGGAGCTTCTTCTTCTTCTTCTTCTTCTTTTTTTTTATGACATCTCCTTTCTGTCAGAGACACTTGCCTTCTTTGGGTTATAAACTTTTGATGCCAGACCTCTGCAGAACGCGCCCAACTGAATCTTAAAGTAGCTTCACCGAGAGAGACAGAGAACGCACAATCTGTGACCTTCGTCCCTGCTCCTTCTTTCGTGCCCCCCCCCGCTCCCTCCGCCCCAGGGAGCGTTGAGAAAGCTCTTTTTTGGATGCAGGAGGGGGCATCTGGTTCTGCTAGGCTGGAAAGCTGAGGCTGGAGCCGAGGAAGAATTATTAGGCTCCGGAGAGCCTGGACTCAGCCTTGCCTTCTCCCGCTCCTGGCTCCTGTTTGCTCTGTGTGCTTTCACCCCTCAACACTTCCGGCTGTTCTGAGAGGGCAGGGGACAAGGACCGCGCAGCTGCAGGAGTTCTGGGAAGTTGTGGTTGTCGAGAATGGGGGTCTGTGGGTACCTGTTCCTGCCCTGGAAGTGCCTCGTGGTCGTGTCTCTCAGGCTGCTGTTCCTTGTACCCACAGGAGTGCCGGTGCGTAGCGGAGATGCCACCTTTCCCAAAGCTATGGACAACGTGACGGTCCGGCAGGGGGAGAGCGCCACCCTCAGGTAGGGAGCCTTCCTTCATCTGGGGACAGAACCCTTTGCACTTGGTTTCAAGGGGAGGGGGTGAAGAAGAGAGAAAAGGAAGCTAGAACGAGGGGCATTTTAACAAGCGAAAGGCTATTTGCGGGTCCAAGAAGTGGCCAATTTCGTCGTGTGGTTGCTGATACCAGTTTTCTTGGATGTGTCTGTCATTTGGTCCTCTTTTGGTCTGCAATCTTACAGGCAATGTTGAAGTCTACACTTTGGACACCATGTATCCATGGGGCTATGGGATGGCAAGTTTCACACCCAGATGGGATACTGCGTGGTTAACTAAACACCCTTGGATTTTTCTTCCAGGCCAGGAGGATGTGATGACACAGGATTGCCCTCAAATAAACATCTATGATGAAAGTGTGTGTTGGGGCTACTTTTACAATTGAAGGCTCTAGATTTCCCGTGCCAGGGCATGACTTTTTATGAGTCTCGTAAAGACACAGCCCCTCAATCTAAACCTGTGCTGTGCACTTGGGCTCTGATGCAAATTATGAGGCCTTTGTATTTTTGTGCGCTGGGACCAAGCATGTAGCTTTTATGCACCGACATCATTCCTGTGTGTGAAGCACAATAGGGAAGCTTTTTGTTTTAGCTTAATGAGTTACAGAGAATCACTTCCATGCTCCAGGCAGAGGGGTGGCGTTGCTTGGAATATGAACCTTTGGGGACTGGGCCTGCTGCAGCAGAGACTTTAATAAAAATGCAGCCACCACTTTCCACCAGCTCAGCAGATATCATCTTTTATCCCTTTAATGAGGCAGTTCTGGTCCTAGGAGACAGATTCAGGGACATCCCAGCTTAACTACGTCTCACAGTGTACACAGGGTGAATGCGTTTGCCCTGCCTATGACTTTGATGGTTATGGTAAAGATAAAACATTCTGACCCAGATTCTGCAACCAGAATGCCTGACTTCTACAAGGAGATATTGAGGGTGGGGTTTCCTTCTTCCTGTTCCCTGTGCTCTTCCTTGGGGAGCCTGTCCCCAAGGAAGAAACCAGGGCTTCTGAAACATCATTGTTCTTTTCGTGAACCCTAGGGTTAAATTTTGCATCTCTTCTACCTTGGGAGGTTCGTAGGTAAATCGTCTTTTCAGCTAGTGAAAGGTCCCAAAGCCCTGTCTTCTGGATCTTCATGGTCCTAAAAAGGAAAACTGAGAAGTTCCTTATAGACAGTTTGAGTTGCAAGTACTTCTTGTCCTTTTAGCATCCCTTAGCTTGTAGGAGATGAGAGTGCATTATCCTTATTTTGTTGCTTCAAGGAAGGTTCCAGGTCTGCTCTTTGAGGTATGACTTGTTGTTGGAATGTGCTTTTGCAGGAGACTGGTGGTTCAAAGGTGCCAAAAGCATCTAACGCCTGTGTATGTGAACCCCAGAAATGTGGGCAAGAGAGTTTGAACACTACCGCATACCTCTTTTTCTTCCAGTCTTTCGTTAGAGGCAAAGACTTGTTTCATAATCAAGGGGGATATCACTGATAAATTTACGGATTCTGCTGTCCTCTTCCCGCCCCTGAAAATTAAATCAGAAACATAGAAACTTGAGCTTTTGCCTTCTGCGATGCAGTAAGATAATTCTACCAGCAGAGGGCCAGCTTCCATCTACCTTTTTTTTTTTTTTTTTTTTTTTTATTAGCTGCTGGTCTGTTTTCATGATCTTCAATTCTAATGTTTAACAGCTGGGCTTGGTAATAGGAAAGGGAATAAAAAAGGAAAAGCTGAATAGTTGCTTTTCATGCTTTGTGGAAAACAACAACGTACATGTTCAACTATGACTGCTGCTGCTTACCTGACTGTTGTGGTAGCTGACTTTTAAAAGCCAGAACAAGCTGTATTGATTTTGCCTGTCTTCTCTCTTCTGCACCTTTCCCCTGCTGTAGACAAACCTATCCCTGTGCCCACATATTACTCTCCAGATCTCCTCTACAGTTTTTACCTCTTGTAATCTTCTCTTCCATTGCTCTTTTCTTGTTACTTATGGTCCCCTTCATTTCTTCCCACCATCATTAACTCTTACCATTCTCTATGCTAAAACAGTTTCATTTCTTTGCTACAATCTCAGTATTTCCTTAAAGAACATAAACACCTCATGCAGAGTTCAGCAGCTCGGCTTTCGACCTCTCTCTTTTTCCTTGCCTTCAATCTGTTCTTTGGAGCTGTGCTCCTTTCTTATCATTAAAACATGGTACTCAGTTGTTTCACCTAGAGGCCATGGTCTCAGTAAGTGGAAACTCACACACTTGGTTGGGCTCAGAGAAATCTATCACATGTTATTTGGTAGCATTTTGCTTTTTAAAACTTACAATCCATCTTGTCTCTCCAATTTTTGCAATACTGGGGATCAAACCCAGGGCATTATACATGGTAGGAAAGAGTTGTGCTATAGCCTTATAGATTTCTCTATAACCTTATAGCTCTATGTAAAGTAACTTTTAAGTATCTTTGAAAGACTTTATTGGTGATTTATTTCTGGGGAAGTTAATGTTCAGAATGTATCAATGATACTCATGCCTATCAGGATTAGAAAACACTCTTGAAGGTACCTGTCCCAGATCACATGACCTTAAGTTCCTAAATCTTGAACTATGTCAGACATGGAGCAGAGACCAATAGGTAAAGCCAAGATACCTAGAAACTTGGCTACACACTCAGATTTTCCTGTGAAAATTTCCCCAACTCAGAGAGGACAATTGCTTCCTGTGGGAGATCAGTTTTGTTGTGGCAGGCCCTTGATTCTTCTGAGGGACCTTCAGAAGTGACGTGCTAAAGAAGACTAAAATTTTCAGTATCGATAAAAACTCATTTTACAGACACAAGGCCATATTATTATTCCTGTAACTATTTCACAGGGCTGCTTGAAAAGTAAAAATAATTATTTTAATATTGAGTTATTTTGCCTTTTTGGAAGAGAGATGATATAGAAAATGAAGGTGCTATTCTTTATAGTTGAATTATACCTTCTATGAATCTGATTTGAATTCATTATTATAAATGGGCCCTCTTGGCCAGAATCATTTCATTGCAATTGTGAGCTGTTGGGTTAAAAATGTTCTGCGCCTTTCTGTTAGATTAGATATGACAAGTATCTAGGTGTCCTCTGTCTGAATCAATGAGCATATTCAGATGGGCGCCCAGGGTCTGGGCATGGTCCGCTGGCATCTACGAAGCCATTTCAACTGCCACCACCAGCCATACTGTCATCATGGGGCCACAGGCACCTCTTGACTTACTTTTGCTCCTCTGTGTGCTTTGTTTCCCTATTCACATGGATATTTTGAGGCGTGTCCTAGATGAGCGGCTGTATTTGGGGTAATTTGTTTCAGGCAGTGGGTAAACCCAATACAGTGGCTTGTTTTGTTGTTGTTACTGTTTGTTTGCTTGCCTTTCCATAGTAGAGTAATCTGTTGTTGATCTACGCTTGCTGATCTCGGATTATACTTAACAATTCTTTCCTAAACTACCCTGCATTTTCATTTGGAGTCCTGAGGTAATCAATTCAGAAAAGCTATATGAGGTTTAACTACTGACAGAGAATAACCTGAGCGGTGGAATTTCACCAAAGCAGCTGGGGCAGTGGAACTCCCAAAGACAAGGTTCTGGTGTTGACCTGGCTGTTTTCTGTACTGTGCACCCACTATCAACAGCTTACCCTTTCAAGTGAATTAGCAAATTAAGATAGCTATTGAGTCTTTCAAAGCATGTAGCAAACCCATATATGTTAATGTTGAAGGTGTCAGAGTCAGGGGCTATGTCAGTGTGATGTAGTAGTTTTGGTCTGGGAAAATAAGAACAGGAAAAGACCTGTGAGTAAGGATGGTCTCTGAAGGAACCCCCTTCATGGTAATAACCTGGGCTTTTTGTTATGAAGGTATTTGAGAAACTATTTAAAATATCCACTTGGAGCTGGGGGTGGGTAGTGTTCATACCAAGCATAAGGAAGACCCTGAGTTTCACCCCCAGGATGAATTAGAAAATAAATTGTAAATGTTAATTCCCGAGACTCTGGGGATGGCCCTGAATGTAGACATTTAAAAATCTATTTTAGCATTTTTCAAGTAAGCCAGAACTGGGAACCACTACTCTATAAGGGTTTCTGCCATATAATTTCTGATTAAGGCTATTTTCCAGGATCTGTCCCTTGCATTGAAATATCTCCCCCATGACATGTATGTGTCTCATAGCTGTACCAATGCCTCAGAAAGAGCAGGAGCCAGGGCTTAGGGCCCATGTACCTCAAGCTAATACTTAAGTTGTCTCCCACTGACTCTCTGGTCATGAACAATTCAGTATACCATATACATAAGTGAACAATTTCTGCCAGTCTATAATATCTAGTGAGAAAGGGCATACAGTGTTATTCCATTAACACTACAGCAATGTGTATCATTTGTGTAATATTCCTACATGCTTAAATCATCTGAAGATTACTTACCTAATAAAACATAAATGCTGTGTAAATTGTTGTTACCTTCTGTTGCATAGCAAATAATGACAAGAACATGTTTAGTATAGACACAGTTGATTTATTTTTAGTATAATTTTATCTATGGCTGCAGGATCTATGGATGTAGAACCCACAGTTCTAGAAAGCTGATGACACGGGCTAGCTGCTACTGAGACTAAAGTGGAACTCCTTGGTAACAATTGATGATATTCTCAGCTTATTCCTGTTTTATCTTGTCTACCACCTCCTCCTCCACCCACACACATACACACAACTTTCAAACTCATTAGTCTCTTTTCACTTCTGCTCGGCTTCCTGCCTTCTGCATGTGGTCAAGAACTGCCCTCAACTGAATACCAGTAACACTTGCTGCAGACCTTTGCTCTAACAGCCAGGCCATGTGGATGTGTGATATCTTCTGGTGTGGCTTTTGTCGGACTGTGGTATGGTGAAGCTCCTACTATATTTGCTATATACAGATATCAAACTGAGCACCAAGGATTAAAAGAACAAGTATAGTTCATTG